CTTGCAAACAAGATTACGGACCTGAGAACCTTGTGTTTGGGGGGGAGGGTCAGTTTTGCAAAGCTCTCCTAAAATTTGAGTTAAGGGACAAGGGAGACAAAAGTCCCTTGGAAGCTTTCGCGGGCTCAGCACCATCCAAGCGGCCTCAGCCTTTAAAGAATTATGTGCTGTTCTGTTTCAAGCCCTATCCAAAGGCATAAAGATGAACGGGCGGGTGGCCACTGTGAGAGCTGCAGCACAAGCTTCATTCAGGACAGGGTGGGCAATGAATGGGCGCTTTTCAGCATCCAAACAAAGAGTTAGAGGAGCGGAGGATACCAAGTGGTGAACTTTTGAGCCAAGTGGAAGAAGCAGTTTCCCTTCCCAAGAGACAGCATCTCTCCAGAGCAGCTCTCTGGAGCAGAAACTTGGATGCGCCGATCTTTAGTAAAGGGTGTTTTTACAGAAGGAGGACAATGGGCACTTCATACATAAATGTGGGCCATTCAAAGTATGGTTCCAATTTTAAGCCAAGTAAGTTGATACTCTCATTTAAAAAGGTAAAAGTAACCAGTTAACAACAGCAAAACCCCAAGGTTTTGTCCACGAGCCTGGTTTGCTTCTTAGTGCCATTTATTGGATCACCGACTCCAGTGGTCAAATAAACTAGATCCCTTATGCAGTGATAAGGAGTGGTTCAAAGGAACCACGTCCTCTTTCAAAGGCGAAGGGTGGCCGGGAAAAGTCTATCAGGTTCAAGCATCAGCATCTAAAGGGAGGATTAAGACAGACCCTGCCAATCCGACTGCCAAAGCACACACAGCACACTTACCCGATCTGTTAGAGACTTTGCGGCTGCAGGAAAAAGCACGCAAAGCTCTCCTCGTGTTGAATCTGGTTAGTTTGTATTGGGAGAACAGGCCATTTGGATTACTCAACGTATAAAGTACTGTGTGAAATCAGCAAGGGGGTTAATTCAATAACTTGGGCATTCCGGTTTAGAGTTAGACGGCTCAAATCTCTGAGTCGATGGGGCTTTCGGAGCCAAAACAAATAAACGGCAGCTTTGCGAGGAGGGTGTTAGAAGTCAGATAGTTCCCATTCATTGGGCTTTCGCTTGGGGAATAGCTAACCTCGGACATGGAACTCGTTCTAGCTCCGACCCGCCTCTTGCTAAGAACCAGACCGTCTCAATCCCGGATCAGACTTCGCCTTTGGCGCATTTTGAGCTTAGTTACCCTTCGCGATCGGTCCAGCTGGCCCCTTCGCACCTCCAATGCCCCCTTCCGTTGGCTTCGAGACCACCCAAAGTGAAATAAACTGCCTCCGCGGGGCAGGGAAGAAAGCTGCCCAATGCGCCCTTTTCACCGTTGAGAAGCGCTGCTCCGTCTCACCCCCTACCCACCCCCGCGACGTGGGACTCAGACCGACTGGATAACCAAGACCCTCACTGAAAGCAGGCATCTATTCTTCGAATGAAGCCCTTTGGGACAAGCCAGTGGGATCGCCGTTTCTTAAAAGCTTCATTTCCTCCCTGCTCCGGATCACTTCTGTAACAAACGAAAAGAAAAAAGAAAAAAAACAACAACCGAGCTTACCTTTCTGAACCCCTGGTCCCAGAGAGCCCCACGTCTGGGTTTTGCCTTCTTTGAACAAAGTTTCCCCAACCGGATCTGCAGGAAAAAGAGGGAGGGGGCGGTAGGTGAGGAGCCCAAAACCCCAAATCGAAGCGGATCCCCGCCCGCAGCTTCGGTCAGCTCATCCTTTAGCGGGAGCAAAAGAAAAAAAGAAAGAAAAAATCCCACGCCGTTCCCCGAGGGAGCCTCGCCTTCTTCCGAGTCCCCCGCCGCCCGCCCGCCTCTGCCGCTCCCCCGCCTCCCCGCCAAGCCGCTATGAAGCCAGGAAACGCGTCCAGGAAAAAGGAAATCCGACTTCCGACGGGAGCCGTCGGGGCCGCTTTAAAGAGGGAAGGCCGAGGCAATCAAGGCGGGGAGGGAAAGGGCCCCGATTCCCTCAGCCTCCCGGACAGAAAGCAGCCGCGCCGGGCCCGGGAAGAGTTTCGAGCGGCTGGGTGGCCGAGCCCGCCTCTGCCCTACCTGGCAGGTACATGTTGAGCAGCAGGGTCCGGGCCGCGCCGCGTCTCATGGCAGCTCTGCGCGCACCCCGCGCCCGCGGGGGGTATTATGGCCTTCCCCCGGGAAGAGGGTGGCTGCGGCTGCGGTTGTTATTATTATGTATTGCCATCGCCGCCACCCGCCGAGGCCGAGCGCAGGTTCGGTGAGGCGGGGGGGGGGGGGCGAGAGGAGGGGCGAGATGGGGCGGCGGGAAGGGGAGGGCAGCAGTAGCCGGGCAACGCGCGAGGGGCGCGCGCCTGCAATTTCCTCTGCGCTTTAATTAAAGGCGCGGCGCGGGCGCTTATCGGCCCATCAGACTTTAATAAAGTTTCCCCCCGTTAAAGATCGCCGTTTCTATGGAGAGAGGCGGCCGTAGCCGCCGCGTTTTCCGCCTCCTTAACTCTTTGCAAACAGGCAACGCCTGGCCTGGCCTGGCCTGGCCTGGCAAGGCCCGGGCGGCACCGGCGGCGCTTCTGCTCCAGCGCTTCTGAAGCAACAAGCGCGCGAATCTCGCCTGAGGGACGGGGGGCCCTCCGGGTCTACTCCACCAAAGCTCCAGTTTGGGCGGGCGTGGAGGCGGCGGCGGGGTGGAAAACCTGGCCCGAGGCTCTGAAGGGGTGGGGGGGAAGGCGCTGGCCACTGGCTCGGTCAAGGGAGCCTCTGGCCCTAAACTTTTTCATTCAGTGATTTCCCAGTTTTCTGTACATACAGAAAGCCCTTTCAGAATTCATTTGGTTTATAAGGGCAGAAATGACATTCAAAGCCTGAGCCCTAAAGAGCCTACTTTTTTTCTTCTTCTGCTCTGACACTGTCTGGTTTTCTTAACTTGTGTGGTTTTCTTAAGGTTTTTCAGAAGGAGTTTGCCATTGCCTGCTTCCCAGAGTTGAGAAAAAGTGACTGGCCCAAGGTCCCCAATCTGGCTTCCTGACTAAAATGAAACTAGAATTCCTAGTCTCCAAGAGACTACCCGATGCTTTAACCACTACTCTAAACCAGTTCTCAGAGCCTGTTAAGTGAAGTCCAAATCAATGAGGGGATCATGAATAGCTTATAGACCCTGCTTTCCTAACTGATATCCTCCATATCTATTAGATTCCAGTCTCCATCCCTCCCAGGAAGGCTGGTTAATACACCTGGAGGCCGTATTACACTGTTAAATGCAATCAGTATCTATATGAACAGGCTGTAATGCAAGGTGTTTATCCTGTTTCGCTTCCCAGGGAAATCTCACAGACCTCCTGGAGTTCTGGCATTGAGATCACTTAGATTTCAGGCTTCATGGTTTACATTTGTTTTCATATCGCTGTATTCATTCACCAGTTTCTAACTACCGGTACAACCTAACAGTGTAGAATCATGGAGGTGGAAGGGAACTATTTTAGGCCATCCAATTTCAGCACTTGCCTGCTCTGTGTAATAATCCAAACCAAAGTAACCCAAAGAGATGGCTGTTTAGCCTCCATTATGCATCGGATAGGTGGCTCAGTGGCTAAGACGCTGAGCTTGTTGATCAGAAAGGTTGGCAGTTCGGTGGTTCAAATCCTAGCAATGCGTTACTTGTCCCAGCTTCTGCCAACCTAGCAGTTCAAAAGCATGTAAAAATGCAAGTAGAAAAATAGGGACTTTGGTGGGAAGGTAACAGCATTCTGTGCACCTAACAGAGATGAGCAACAACCCCTAGAGCTGGAAATGACTATCTGTGCGGGGAAACTTTACCTTTACCTATGTATCTGGTGAGGTTGCTATGCACAGGTGTATCCAGTACCCTTGATAATCCTTGGGTCATTTCTATGCTGTAGCTGTAGAAAGATGCTGGATGCCTTTCCTCTTGTTTGTTGAGCTGGCAGAAAACTATATGACCTCCATCACATCTCTGTCCTGTTTGAATTCCCAGTCATACAATCACCTGACTCCTCTCCAAGGCAATGGATGATCGAATCTAACACCTTGAGGCTGCACTTAGGAAGGTGTCACAGGTGGGGAGTGGGAGAAGAATTGTACCTTAAAACCTGTACAGCTAAGGATGACACATATCTGTCTCATTCAAGGTAAAAGTAACGTCATGCAGATCCAGCAGAAAAATAATGTTGATGGGACATGGGTTTTGTTTTGTTTTTGCCATGGGGAGATTCAGATGAGGAAAGGCTCTCAACGTGCAGTGTGTCTCTTAATATTATTTCACTTCATTTCCCAAAAATCAAGACTTTGAGGGAATTTTTCCTTGATTTAAGGCTGTTGCATTGAACAACATGTGTTGCATAGCATTGTTTCTGACTCATCATAATGGGTTATTATTGTGAGTTCCACATAATGTTCTACTGGAAATAGATGTAGAAGAGTAATATTGCGTCAGTTTGCACAATGTTCTTTCACAACCTTTTCATGAAAAGAAGTTTTTTGAAATACAGTGATTTTGTTTAAGCCTGTGGTTTCTGTCTCCCAAAATTACAATAAACTGCAATTTTTGCCAGTGATGCATTATCTATAACCAGAATCTGACTCCAGAGGTTTCACCTAACCCCTATGTTAAAACACAAGACACAAAGAGTAGATTTAAAAATAAATATTTATTTACAAATATCAAAACTTTATCCTACCCCCCCTACACAAACACACCTACTTGGATCACCCCATTTGTTCACTAAACTTTTATTATTTTAAATTTGCATCTCTACCCAGCAGAGACATCTAGTGGCTGCTTGTGGGAAAAGTGAAGTACATTTTGTGATCAAGAGAGCAGATGGCAGCAGTAGAAAAGGATGGGTTTTGGTGAAAGAAAAGAAGGGAGAGGAGAGGAGAGGAGAGGAGAAGAGAAGAGAAGAGAAGAGAAGAGAAGAGAAGAGAAGAGAAGAGAAAGCACTTCAGGCATGGCCAAAAATCATATGCTTTCTTTTTCTCCCCTTGTGACTGCATGATTTACAGTAATTATGGGTGCACTTCCTTTACTGATAATATGGATCAATGGCTTTGTTCAGCTGGTTCTCACATGTTTCCACATGCTGCAACATAGAATGCTGATAAGAGGCCCCAGTTCCTGTTCTGAGAGATTTTTCAAGGGATTCTCTTCCCTATAAACTAAAAATGTGCAGAAGACAATTTATGTATGTATGTATGTATCATATGTGTATGGCCACCCATTTCTGGTGCTATGACTCAATGCATGCAAACAAACCAAAAAAAAAAAACAATATTAGAAACATTCAGGAAATACAGAAATATTACTATAAAAAAAACTAAGAACATTACATTACAAACAATGTGGACAGTCATAAGACCCCGCCCCCCTCTCTCACACATATACAGATACGTTGTCCAGTCTGGTGGGCCCAGTGATGTTTTCTTGAGGAAAGTGCAAACCAACACTTCTTTGAGAGGCAAAGGAAAGACCTCCTCACCCAAGGAAGAATTCACCACTGCTAGAATCAACTCACATGACATTTCCTGCTTCCCATATAACTTTAATTAGCCAGGAGGGGCTTGATCTAAAGAGTACCCTGTCCGCTTTCTTAAGCCCAATAGGTCCATTCCCACATAACAGGGTAAAACTCTACCCTGGGAACTAAACCATGACCAGCACCAACTGTGAATGAATTGTAGCCATTTTGACTAGCAAATGCATTGCAAATTCTTCTGCATGAGTCTCTAGTGGGGTCTCTGAGACACCTCTACTAAGAGGGCACAGATTGTTCAAAATAAGGCAGTAAAATAACTATCTACAGATGCAGTAAGGGTGGAGAAGTACTGTGACTTCACTTCCCGCATTGCCATGAGGTAGTTCTTAAGAGTGGCTGTATTCAGTGTTTAGCTGAGTTTGTCCCACACAGCCTCAGCAACATTCTAGATGTCTTGTTAATGTAATGAAGATTTAATAGCTGACCAGCTGCTGTAAGATTGTAAGCCAAGATGATGAACTGAGCATGAGTCAGCAGGGTACTGCCACTTTAAGAAGCTGTCTATAGAAGGGAGGACATGTGAGGGTGTCTCTCTCTCTCTCTCTCCTCATGTTCTATCTCCACTGTAGTTCTCAGTGTAGAGTGATTGATTGCCTGGTATTTGCCTGCCACATGTATTGATGTATATACTAGTCTTGTATATAAACCACTGTTAAAAGACAAAGCCTCTGTGTCCTGTGTTTTGTTCTTGGGTTATCTCACAATAGTAGTCATGCTGTAAACACTCTGACATGTCTCCTGTTTTATCTCCTTCAGTGCTTCTGTATAGAATGAAGAGTGATGGGATCCATAAGACGGGAGAGGTCACATAGGCGTGATCCAATCCAAAGCCTCATTCACTTCTTAAAAGGGACTCAGATGGAGCGTGCAGCAGAGCAGTAGGAACAGTCCCCAATTCCCTCTGAAACCCATCAGGGAAAACTGATCTAATAAGCCCAGCCTTCCTGTGTGGAAAGTGGTGCTAGAGAATCCAAGGTAATCAAGACGTAATCTGACCAGGTCAAGGTGGACACAAGGCATTCCTCAATCCCAGATCACGCTGTCACTGCTTTGCCAGGAAAGCAGATCAAGTGTGTTGATCACTGTTCTGTGTTGAGCTCTGGATCACTTGGCTGGGCTCTTGGCTGTCGTGGTAGTCATGAGCTCCTGGGTTTCCGCTGACTCAGTTCCAAGAGAAGACAGATTGACATCTGCCAGAACCATAATCTGGGGGAGCTAATGCAGCAATGCAGACAAGCAGCTCAGGCAGGGAGGTTGCTGTGCAGTAGGGAAGCTGGTACAACAGCAAAAATCTGACCGATCCATAGAGCCCAACTTAACGAACAGTGTCTCTCACACCTAGCAATCTGTGGAGCAGTACCTCTGAGAAATCCTGAGAGATTTTTGGATGACAGTCACCTCACTTCCATGCCTGGCCTGGAGCCTCATCTGATGCCACACCTGAAACCCGGCTGGGTGCATTTAAGAAAAGGCTGTTCCTTTTTTCTAACACAACCAGGCCATAGTCACACATTCCAGGTTGGTCCTCTCATCTGTGACTAACTCACAAGTGGAGGAGACCTTATTATAGGCTGACTTGGCATTTTGCAAGTGCGGCCTAAAACCCAGGCACCCTGAAAATCAGCTGACCGGGCACTGGGTTGGGTTCAGGGAGTTGGAACATGGACCTGGAATGGGACACTGGGCCTGCATTCCCTGAGAACCGCCTGCTCTCCCGTTCCTTATGGTTCTTCCTTCTTAAAAATAGCAAGAAAGAAAGAACAAAGCGGGACTGGGGACTGGATTTCCTGAATAAAGGGTAAATCAGGTAAATAAATAGGCTCTACCTTTTTTGTTAGCACAGTATATGAGCTTTGCCAGAAAAATAAACACTTGGGAGCATGTGGGGTTAAGTGTTCAAACCCAGTTGGTTTCCATATCATTAGTGCTGTTGCTGTATCACTCGGCCTCTGGCACTTTCTTAAATATCAAGATTAGGACTGGTGGGGGGTGGTTTGGAAGAGAAGTTCTCCGCTTCCTGCACTCTTTCTTTCTGAACCTCCTGCAAAACCAAGCAGGCTACAGTTTTTCCTTTCCCCCTTGAAAGAAAGACTTCTTGCACTTGCCCGGGGCATTGCCCATTAATTCTACGGTAAGAACTGAACTCACAAAAGCTGAAGGAAATGGACAACTCCTGAAGTTCATTTTTAAAAAGTGGGAACGTTGGCTGAAGAAGTGTCAAATATCACTGTGTGCGATGGGATCCCTTGTGCCAGGGGTGAGCTTCAAAAATGTTAGCAAAGAGTTCTCTCCCCAGTTGTTGGGTGGGCGTGGCCAGGGTGGGGCGTGGCCTAGTCAGCCTCCTGCACCACGGTGGGGCGGGGGGAGAAGGGTGTTTTTGCCCTCCCCAGGCTCCAGAGGCTTTCCCTGAGCCTCTGGGAAGGTGAAAATGGCCTCCCCAGGCTCCGGAGGCTCTCTGGAAGCTGGAAACGGGCTCATTTCCAGCCTGCCTGAACTCCCGGGAGGCCCTTTTTTGCCTTCTCCGAGCCCTCTGTGTGCGTCGTGCACTTACCTGCATCCAAAACGGGCCACATGGGGACTCCTGGGAGGGAGGGGAGGGATGGGCAGGGCCAGCCAGGAGTTGGATTTGGGGGTTCTCTGAACTGCACAGAAGCTTAACTAGGGGCCATCCCAAACCCCTGCAAACCCCCAGCATCTCACCCCTGCCTTGTGCCCAGTATATACAGAGTCAGAAGTTTGAACCCTGGACATTCTCCTCTGCCCCCGTGTTTGGAGGGCTTCTCCAGTCAAAGGCCGCTGATACTTAACGGATGGAAGATGCATTTTTGCTGATTCACCTTTCGTGCCCCAGACTTGCTTTAGCTGCCTGAGTCCTATTAGCCAGCCGCAGGCAACTGAAAACAAGCCCAGGACAAGTAGGTATATGACTACGGAGCAGTCGTGATCAGTTTGGATTCTTGCTTCCCGAAGCTTCCTATAAGGTCTCTGAAGAAACGCTGTCCTGAGCCAGTAATGGAAATGGCTATTAAAGGCCTTCTCCACCTGGGTGAGCAGCTTGATTGGCAGAACAGGCAGTCAATGATCTGCTCAAGTTCTGCTTGGAGCCCAGGAAATCCCACCTGCTCTCCAGGAGAGGTGCAGAATTCTAGATCCAAGCAAAACATGGTTGATACAAAGAATGCTGAGAGCAACATCTGGATTCTCCCTTCTCTGCCTTTAGTTCCAAGGCAGGCACTTTGAAGGGGATCTCAAAATTGGTGAACAATCATCTCTGCTCTTTTTGAGCTCTCTGTTTGAACTCTGCCCATGCACAGGTTATGAAGGGGTAATACGGAGGTTTGGAACAAACCATTTTCATTAACTAGGGAATAGGGAAGATGGTTAAAAAAAAAAGAGGTTAGGAATAACTATTTACTACCATCGCCTGCTTAAAACTGTGAAGCCTTGTGAACAAACATCTTTCAAGATGACATTTGAAGCCCCCAAAGCCAAATCAATTGTATATCACTTTTAACAATTGGATTTTGCTTCTGCTGGTTGTATGGAAAGATAAAGAGTCTCTTTATCACAGGGAATCCTCCTTGGTGCTCCACTTCATTTTTGATATTTTCTACCCTAAACCAATTGCTGGGTATCTCTGGCAAAAGCCTGGAAATGAACTGAATTACAGAAAGAGCCCTGGGACATGTAAGACGCTTGTAGTCAAAGAAAACTCTTCTAAAATCTTGACAAACTGAGGTCACTTTGCTTTGCCCCAAAACCCTATTAGGACTGCAGCTGGGAGTGATTTGGGGACAGGGGAGTGAGGTAGAGAGGCAAGATAAATTCCAGCTTCCAGAAATGAGACACTGGGAGGCAGGAAGTTGATTTTAGCCCATCTTGAGACAGGCAAGATAAATAACGCAGCTTATGGACTTTTTTTTTTCTGTTGAGATCTAGAAAACCATAATCTATGGCTCTCTCCCACATGGAAGTGTAACTAGCACTTCATCTCTAGGTACAGATCAAAAATGAAAGATTAAACCACTTTGGCTGTAAGAACAGCCCAGTTTGCCTTAGTTGAAAGAAAGAGCTTTTGCTCTCAGCTGACCTGCCCTTTCTCACCAGAAATAAAGCAATCTTTTACACCTGCACTACTCCAGGAAGTTTCCTCTCCCCTTGAAGCAAGAAATATAGTGGCTCCTTCTGAACCTCCGTTCCCTTCTCTCACGCACCAAGCATTGGAGCGTATGCCCATAACACAATCCACCACGTTCTTTGTTTCTACTTACCATCAGGGCTGCTGAGGAACAGAAGCTGACGTGGCCCTGGCTGAGAAAGCTGCAGGTTTGCTACCTGTTTGGGAAGGGAAGGGAAGGTAGACCACAAAGCTCTGGCTAGGAGGCTGGAGGTGTGGAGGAATGTTTGTGCAAGGGGAGAGGCCTGCAGCCAGCACTTCCTTATTGGAGACTGGAAAGGAACAGCCTCAAAATAGATCGTTTGTGCCAAACAATACAGAGGAGGAGGAGGAGGCAGCCATCTGTTTTGGTTTCAGAGGCTGTGTGACAAGTGAAAAGAGCCTAGCTGAGCCAGACCCCATTATCACAGTGCCAGCAAGTTAGCTCAGTGGCTCATTGGTAATAATGGCAGAGAGGCTTCTCCGAAGTTATTCGATAACATTTTCCTTTAAAAAGTGTACCCCACCCCCACACGCACACACACAAGCACACTGTGGCTAAGCTTCTGCAAGTCTTGTGTCACTTACAGGATGTCAGAACTGGTCACCCCTTTGCAGACCAATCACTTTGCATACAGCAAGATAAATCCACGCGCTAAATTTAGCATCTTTGCAAACCTAGTGATTGTCTTTGGAATGGTAGTGATAACCAATGAAGAAAACAGAACATAGATGGCCTTAAGCAACTTTATTGTAAATTTCTTTACAATATTGTCCACATGGCTAATCTAAGATCTCAGATCCTCTGGGTTGCATAATGTTGGTGCTTATTAGCTTTTCAGGGTGGGATGGCTAGCTATTACTCTTTGTTTGGGATGTCTGTATTTATGCTGAATTTGTAACTTGAAGGCAACCTCTCCAAGAATCAAATAATAAGAAAAGCTGTAGCCTTCTGTGCCATAGTTTTAATGATGGGTTTTCATTCCAGTCATGGCTCTGAGGTTGTCAGGAGTTGCTTCTGCATCCTCACATTACGTCTATGGTGCAAAATGCAGTTACATGACTCCTTCTCTTCTGGTTTGCCTTGGAAGCATCACCTGCATTCAGGTCCCACTGGATTTCTGTCAGATAGTGGCAGATGGGCTCACTCTATGGCAATACAAGTGTTGTGTGCTGCCCTGAGTCACTTTCATGTGAGATGAACAGCTACAATAAATAAATAAATACCATCCACCAAGATGAATTGGACAGAGCTAGCAACAAAGCCTGCTTCTACTCAATGTTCTACTTGCAGATCATGAAACCGACACCAAAAAAAAACCCCAACAACAATCTCAGGTAGATAGGCATTTGGCAGGAATAATATTCTTAAAGTGGGACATTGCAATAGACTTAAGCAGAGAGGGGAATTTTTGTTACAAAGTCGGTCCATTGTTAGAAAATTGAACTATTGGATTGCAGGGGCTGCTTACATGTTATGTTTGGTGTGTGTATGTATGTGTTGGGTGCGACAGGGCGGGGGGGCAGGGATTAAGAGCGTTTCCTGGCTCTATTCCAGCCTGTTTGCATGTTCTTCCTCTCTTGAGGGTAGAGAGGCTCGTTACAAATTTGTCCAGTCCCGGATATCTAGACGGATGTAAACATGTAGCTGAACCTGAGAGGTGGAGCCAACCAGGGCTACTGTTGGGGAAGGTATGCTTCTGTGTGCAGGACTCACTTATGTAGTTTGCCAAGCCACACAGAAAGAGGAATGATTTTCAAAGGTACAAATGCCTCTCCTAGTGAAAGCACAGCTTTCCCATTGGTGACAGCACCTGAGCTACTGTAGATCTCTCACCCTGTCGAAGAGCATGCTCCAAACTCTGTGGGCTGACATAAGTGACACGTTGTAGGAAAGGGCCTGCGTGAACCCATTTCTTGAAATCAAACGGCACACCAGAGTGACCAAAAGAAAAAAGACTTTTTCTTTCAACAGTTGCCACTTAAAGCAAATCATTGACTGAGAAATGCAGCCAATCGGTTCCGTCTTCAGAGAAATGAAAAATGAAGAGTATGCTTTTTGTATTATCGTGTTCCTTGTTATTATCACAGATCTGGGAACAGCACTAAGATCTTCCAATTCAGAAAGAGACTATGACTGGTGTACATTTGGTTCACACCTTTTCCAAAAAGCCACACTTCCACCCACCCCAGGAAGCCCATTGGGGCTCTAATGAGTCTGGATCTGCAGAGATCTTGGGATGTCTAGCTAGCTACTGATGCCCAGTGATACAAGTACAAGTAAGTCAGCATGGTTTCATCGCAGTCTTAACTTTTCCAAAAGGTTACTGTTTTTACAGCTGATCCAGTATTTTTAGAAGCGAAAACCTTTATCTGCTGATCCTGCACATCTAACAACTATTCAACCTAGTCAGTTTAGGACACACTGGTGCCCGCTTAGTTTTAAAGTTGGTAACCTTACCCCAAATTGGGCAAATCAACCCCTGAACATTTTAACAGTTGGGAAGGAGGCTACTCAGTAAACATCGTTTGCCAGTCAATGTTGCTAATAGGGCTCTTCAAACAATGTTATAGTTGAAAGATGAGGTTTTTGACCAACGTTTATGCGATAATAAATCCATCTTCAAATTGCCAAAGAAACCCTTTGCTTTTTGTATTTGTATGTGCAACAAAGATTTCATATGATTAACTCTTTTGGAAATAATTGCTTTCAGTTCAGCTTCTTGCTAAGTGTTGTTTGTGCATTGTGGTCCTGATCATGAGCCAATCTCAAAATAATGTGTTAACATGTATTGACTCCACACACACAAACACTTTTCGTAGGAGAAGCAAAGCAGGTAGAATCCATTTTACAAAAATACATATTCTGGCATCTTCTTTCTATTGCAAAGGGCTTCCTTCCTCAACCAATCCTTCCAGGATTTGCTAACCAAATAGGATTCTCAATTATTTATTATTTTCAACTTTCCACAGTGACTGGGCCCTCATCAGCAATCTGAGGCATGAATTCTAACAACTCCAAGAATCACAGCACAAAGTTTTCATCGACAGATGGACAAAATGAAAAAGGAGTTTGGTAAATGCCTTTATTAGCTACTGGGTGCAGGTCTACTACGTGGCCAAAGTGAAGGTGAGGGTTGCACAGGAAGTATAATACTACTGTTTCTGCTGCTAAGACCTGGCTCAATGCTGGATACGGCGGATGGACTGGATCTGGCTGCTATGGGCTTGGCTGCTATAGTCAGTGTACTTCCGATATTCACCATTCTGTCGGTCCCGTTCCAGGATATATTGGTAGCCTCGGTAGCCTGGATATTGATATGCCACCCACCTAGGAGGATAAAACAGAACATAGGGATGATAGGCAATCTGGCACATGTTCCTTCATTGGAAAGGGAACTGCACATCTTTTCCTAAGCTGGTGTTTTGGGAATGTATTGATACTGCAACACCTAAATTATATTGGTTGCAAAGGCTAAGTGATATAGTCCCAATGTATCTGAAAGGTGGTAGGTTGGAGTAGCAGAGCATTTCAATGGCCTTTAGTCCTTTGGATCCCAACCTGTCCAGTCCTTGGACTGGATAACCAGCCCCAAGGGAGATGTACCATAAAAATGACTGAGAGTAGGGGAAGCAGACACTGTAGTAATTGTTGCTGTTTTGAAATGCAGAAATCAATTTTGGAAAATCTATCAGTTGTGTCTGTGGATCTGTTGTGTTCATATTTTAATAAGATGGAGCAGTACTGTAGATTTTTATACAGTCCTTTAAAAAGCCACCAAACAAAATTTGACACAAGAAATGAAACTTCCTTGTAACTCCTCTAGGTCTCTTGAAAAGAGTTGGTTTGCTGGGTTCACACAGCCATTGCTTGTTATAATTGTGGTTTGTTAAATAAGACATTATGGGAATGCTCAGTCAGAAACCATAATTTACCCACTTCAGTAACCAATTTAATATGCTCATCTAAAGCCAAATAACCACCTTATGGCTTAATACAATGTGTGATCAGAAACAGAAGAAGCCTCTGTTTCCAGTCCATATCTGATTATGGAATTTAAAACTATGGAGAAAAGTGACCAGCAAACTCTCTGCTAGAAAAATATAAGGTCACTGTCTATTATGAGGATCTTCAAATCTACAGTGATCATTGTGCAGCATCATCATAGCTTTTTTGGTTATGAGTACAGTAGCCCAATACATATACAGAAGATACCAGAACTGTAGGACGGATGGTCTTATTAAATCAAGGTAATTACTCAACCGATGCTCTCTGATATTTATTACCTTGAACCAAAAATTGCACCAAGAGAAACAGAAGGCGTCACTTACGCTCCAGAGAGAACTTTGATGGAGGCTACTTCCTTGCTGCACCATCCCATGGCTTGCAATGATGGATAATCATCAGTCAGCTCAAACTTGATACCTTGGAAGTTCTCTGACTCATACAGAGTCACTCTGCTGTCATTATGATTCTGGAACATAGCATGAAGATGTCTCAGAGGAGGAAGAAACACAAGCAAAAGAGATCACAATGACTTTTCCAAGTCTTAGGCTTCCTTTCCCCTTCTTGTACTTTTAGATATTTTTGGAATGCCTCTCCAAAGAGGCATGTTGGTAGCTCCCATATCTTTTTCCATCTTTCCTCGAGATTGATTGTTTCAACATAGGGCAACACGGTTCATGCTTATTGCTTTGACTTTGTCCTCGCTCTCCGCTTCCTAAGATGTCCTTCAGCATGTTGGGATCTCATCTCTCAGAGTTCCCAGTCAGAAGCCTCAACGACTATACTGGCTGACAGTCACTGTCCTAGAACACATCTGGGAAAAGCAGGGTTGGAGAAGGCCATATCCTTACTTTGAGACTTGCCCCTTATTTTAAAGCTTTCTGCCTCCTATGTCAAACGGTGCACTATTAATTGCTTTGCTGGGTCAGAACCCATTGTGAGGCTTATCTAACCTGCCAGATGCTTTCAGGGGTTCATAACTTAAGTGGACAAGGGTGGTGGTGATTGTTATTCTCATTCCACAACATTTAAAACTAAAACCAAGCTAAAACCAAATAAATCACATGATGGGTTAGTAGTGGGATTATAAACCCTGTCAATATTGGGAACAGAGGAAATAAAAATCCTTGGAGATAAACAATTGCATCAGCTACCCCATGACTTTTTTTATTCTTTCTTTTCATCTTTGT